GGAGGAGTGCAGGGAGGAGGCAGAGGAGGAGGGTGGTGGGGAGGGACCAGGTACGTAGCGCACGCTTCACACATCTGACAAATCCTACCCCTCCCTCCCATCCCTTACCATGGCGCTGATATTCTCTATCCGCGGACGCGTGTCGTAGCGGACCTGTGGCTCCGCGCGCGTGTGCGTAGTGGGTGGTGGTGCGCGTGCGTGCGTGCGTGTGTGCGTGGTTGTGGTTGTTGTGGTGGTGGTGTGTATGTGTGTGTGTGTGTGTGTGTGCGTGTGTGCGCGTGTGCTGTGGTGTGACGTGGTGTGGCGTCTTGGTGGTTTGGTGGTGGGCCAGGTGCGTACGTGCGTGATGGCGGTGGTGGTGGTGGCGGTGGTGGTGTGTGTGTGTCTGTGTGTGTGCGTGTGTGTGTGTGTGTGTGGGCGGTGGTGGTGTGTGTGTATGTCTGTGTGTGCGTGTGTGTGTGTGCGTGTGTGTGTGCGTGTGTGTGCGTGTGTGTGTGTATGTGTGTATGTGTGTATGTGTCTGTGTGTCTATGTGTATATGTGTCTATGTGTCTATGTGTCTATGTGTCTATGTGTCTATGTGTCTATGTGTGTATGTATGTATGTATGTATGTATGTGTGTATGTGTGTATGTGTGTATGTGTGTGTGCATGCGTGCGTGCGTGCGTGCGTGCGTGCGTGTGTCTGTGTGTGCGCGCGTGTGATGTGGTGTGACGCGGTGTAGCGTGGTGGTGGTGGGTGGGGTAGTGCGGTGGTGGTGGCGGTGCGCGGTGGTGGTGCGCGTGCGTGCGTGCGTGCGTTGGTGGGTGGAAGTGGCGGTGGGTGTGCGTGCGGCGGGGCGGGGCGTGGTGCGGCGCGGTGGTGGCGGGCGGATGGGCGCGCGAGAAAGAGGCCCGCGCTGGGGCGAGAACGCCATCCTGAACGACGGAGGCCAAACACCGATCCGAAAATGAGGCCCACGCTGCAGCGGGAGCACGATTCGGAACGATTCGGGAGCAGAAATGAGGCCGGCGCCTCAGCGAGAGCAGCATTTTGAAAAAAAACGCAGGCGAAAACCCAACTCCCGGGAATCCTATGTGTAAAAAACAGTACGCGGGGGGGGGTCTACTACTCCCTGGACGCCATCAGGGGAAGAGGGAGAGTAGTATTCATATGGAGTAACTGTGGGGGAGGAGGAGGAAGAGGAGGAGGAGGAAGAGGAGGAGGAGGAGGAGTGGCCAAGACGCTGCCTCCCCCGGGCGCGCCGCCGAGGATGGAGATCGGACAGATGGCCGCCGCCGAGACCGGTCGGCGCGGCCACCGCTGCACAGATGCACGCGGACGCGACGGAGAACAGCGCGACGGCCGCGCCCTTCGGCCCCGCCCCGCCGGCCTCGGCGTGCTCCCGGGCGGAGTCTGGGCCGTCGCTCGGCAGGCACGGGAGCTCGGCCTCGTCAGCGACTGCCCCGGCGGACATCGCGGCGGGGGAGAAGGAGGAGCCGCAGCGGGAGGGCGGGGAGGTCGACGACCACGACGACCACGACGAGCAGGAGGACGACGAGGAGGAGTTGCGAGAAGGGTGCCAGGGAGGAAGGACGAAGAGACTACAGCCGATGAGCAGGAGAGGGAAGGAGAAGAGGGAGATAAAGGGGGGAGCGAGGAGGAGGAGGAGGAAGGGAGGAAAGGAAGGAGGAAGAGGAGAAAAGGAGGAGGATGAGAAGGAGGAGGAAGAGGGCGAGAAAGGAGGAGAACGAGGAGGAGGAGGAGGAGCGGGGACGGGGAGGGGACGAGGAGAGGAGGAGGAGGGGAGGAAGGAGGAGGAAGGAGGAGGTGAGAAGGAGGAGAAGGAGGAGGAGGAGAGAGAAAAGGGGGGGGGAGGAGGAGGCGAAGGAAGGAAGGAAGGAAGGAAGGAAGGAAGGAAGGAATGGAGGAGGAGGAGGAGGGAGGGAGGGAGGGCGGGGTGCGCCGTGCTCGCCCGCCCCGCGCCACCAGGGCTCGGGGCGGAATTGCTCGAGCCAAGTTGGCTGCGTTCAGGCGTAGGGGCGAGGGGAAAAGAAGGTGGATCCTCTGTCCTCCTCCTCCTCCTCCTCCTCCTCCTCCTCATCATCATCATCACAATCCTCATTATCAACAACATCAGAATCATCATCAGCATCATCATCATCATCATCATCAGCATCATCATCATCATCACCATCATCGTCATCGTCATCATCACCATCATCAACATGTTTATCATCATCCTCGTCCTCATCCTCATTTTCCTCCTCCTCTTTCTCCTCCCTCTCCTCCTCATCATCATCACCATCACCATCACCATCATCATAATCAGCATCGTCATTATCATCACCATCATCATAATCATTATCATCAGCATCATCATCATCATCGTCATCATCACCACCACCATCACCATCTTCATCATCATGCTGATCCTCATCCTCCTATTCCTCCTCCTCTTCCTCCCCCCCTCTTCCTCTTCATCATCAGCACCATCACCATCACCATCACCATCACCATCACCATCACCATCACCATCATCATCATCATCATCATCGTCATCATCATCATAATCATCATCAACACAGGCATCATCCTCCTCATCATCATCATCATTTTCATCGGCATCGTCATCATCATCGTCATCCACCATCCCAGTCATCAGCATCAGCAGCATCATCACCAGCATCATCATCACCACCATCACCATCACAATCAGAGTGGCCATCGCCATCCTCATCATCATCCTCACCATCACCATCACCATCATCATCGTCATCATAAGCATCTTCTTCATCCTCAGCATCAGCATCATCGTCATCATCATCAGCATCATCACAAACATCAGTATCATCACTATCACCATCACCACCATCATCATCAGCAACATCCTGCTCATCCTTCATCACTCTTCATCATCATCATCATCAGTCCGTCTCGCTCCCTCCCTCCCTGCTCTGATCTCTCCGTCTCTCCCCGTGCGCCCCGTCTCTTCCTATTTCCTATGTCTACCTTCGCTTCATACTTGTGGAATGGAAATTGATCAACAGGAAAGGGGGCGCGGGATGAGAATAGATTGCGGAAGGGGAGGGTGATGGGGGCAAGGAAGGGGGAGCATAATGATGATGATAGTGATGATGGTGAGGAGGAGGAGGAGGAGGACGATGAGGAGCAGCAATGAGTTAGGACATGATGATGATGAGGAGGAGGAGGCGGAGGAAGAGGAGGAGGAGGAGGGGATCCTGGGGGAGCAGGTGGAAAGGAAGGGGGAGACGAACAGGGTGATGATGATGCTGCTGCTGATGATGATGATGAAGAGGAAGAGGAGGAGGAGGAGGAGGAGGAGGAGGACGACGAGAAGCATGACGACGACGATGCTGATGCTGATGATGATGCTGATGATGCTTTGATGATGGTTATGAGGATTATGATGAATGTTATGATGGTGATGGTGGTGATGATGATGCTGATGATGATGATGATGATGATGATGATGATGGTGATCACGACGTTGCTGTCGGTGGTAAACGTGGTGGTGATGGTGATGCTTATGATGATGCTTATGATGATGATGATGATGATGATGATGATGATGATGATGCTGCTGCTGCTGCTGCTGATGATGATGGTGATGCTGATGCTGCTGATGATGATGATGCTGATGCTGGTGATGATGATGATGCTGATGGGGATTAGGAATGGACACGAAAAGGAAGATGAGGAGGATGGGGCGGACGAGCAAATGAGAATTAGACATGCGGGATGGTGATGCGGCGTCATGAAAAAAAGATGGGAAAGGGGGGAGGAGGAGGAGGAGGAGGAGGAGGAGGAGGAGGAGGAGGAAGTAGGCGGAGGCGGCGGGCGAGCGGACGAGGCGGATGAGCAGGGCGCGACGAGAAGGAGGAGGGGAGAGGAGGAGGAATGAGGAAGAGGAGGATGAGGAAGAGGAGGATGAGGAGGGAAAGGAGGAGGAGGAGGATGGGGAACGTATCCATATGAGAAAATGGGGTAATCACAGGAGGAAGAGGGGGAGGAGAAGGAGGAGGAGGAGGAGGAGGAGGAGGAGTTGGAGTAGGAGGAGGAGGAGGAGGAGGAGGAGCCGCAACAACAACAATTGATGAGAAGGGAGAGGAGCACCTGCAGCAGAGGACCAGAGAGAAACTGCGAGGAGCACAACGAGGAAAAGGAAGGCACAATCTTCCTCCTCCCCCTCTCTCCTCCTCCTCTCCCTCACATTCACGTCCTCACCCTCCTCTAGTCTTCCTCCTCCTCCTCCTCCGTCTTCCTCCCCGCCAACCAGCAAACCACCTCTTATACCCCCATTCCTTCCTCTCCCTCCTCCTCCTCCTCCTCCTCCTCCTCCCTCCTCCTCCTCCCTCCTCCTCCTCCTCCTCTCCTCCACCTCCTCCTCCTCCTCCCTCCTCCTCCTCATCCTCCTCCTCCTCCTCCTCCTACCCCCTCCGCCGACCCACCGTCCACCCAACCTTCCACCTCCTTCTTTTTCTCCTCCAGCTCTCCTCCTCCTCCTTCTCCTCCTCCTCCCTCCTCCTACCCACCACCATTCTCCTCCCTCTCCGCCTCCCTCCCCACAACATCAAACCTCCTCATCCTTCAGTCTCCTCCTCCTCCACAATTCTCCTCCACTATCCTCCTCCTCCTCCTCCTCCCCTCCTCCTCCTCATCATCATCCACATCACATCATCTCCTCCTCCTCCTCTCCTCCTCCTCCTCCTCCTCCTCTCATTCTCCTCCTCCTCCTCCTTCTCCTCCTCCTTCTCCTCCTCCTCCTCCTCCTCGCCCCCCTTCTTCCCCTCCTCCTCCTCGAAGCCGACGGACGCAGGACGACGGATAACGGACGACGGACGACGGACAGAAAGACGGACGACGACGACGACGACGACGACGACGACGACGACGACGACGACGACGTGCCGCCCGTGCCGCCGAGGGCCGCTGGTGGGTGGGGGGGGGGCGGCGCCGACGGCCGCCGAAGGGCCGCCGTTGGCCGCCGAAGGGCCGTCCGCGGTGCTGTGGCACATGCCGCAGGCGTCGCCGCGCGGGCAAGCGCGCTGGTCGTCGAACTGGTCGGGGCACTGCTCCCCCGCGTACGCCGGGGCTCCCTCTGCCACCTCGCTCGGTGCGGTC